CTGGGATCGTTGTGTTCACTCCCAGGGGAACTACTTCGAGGGTGATGGATGAATTTAATACCTGAGATAAGTGTACGGGTTTTTATAGGCGCAGTCTAGAAACTTTCCGATCGCACCTCGTACATCTCCATCAGAGCTCTTGGGTGACCAGGTGCATTGTCAATGAGTAGTAATATTTTGAAAGGAATCTTTTTTTCTGAGCAGTAGGTCTCAACAGTGGGCTTAAAACCATGTTTTAAACAGATGTGCTGTCATACAGGCTTTGTTGTTCAATTTATAGAGCACAGGCAGAGTAGATTTAGCATAGTTCTTAAGGGCCCTACGATTTTTGGAATGGTAATGAGCATTGGCTTCAACTTAAAGTCGCCAGCTTCATTAGCCCCTAACAAGAGAGTCAGCCTGTCCTTTGAAGCTTTGAAGCTATGAAATTCCTAGATGGCATCTTCTTCCGATATAAGGCTGTTTCATCTACGTCGTAAATCTGTTGTTTCGCTTTCTTATCATTTGTGTGTTCACTGGAGTAAAACTTTTAATTTCCTTCAACAACTTTTCCTTTGCATTCACAACTTGGCTAACTGTTTGGCGTAAGGGGCCTAGCTTTCGGGTTTTGACATCCCTTCCTCACTAAGCTTAATCATTTCTACCTTTTGATTTAAAGTGAGAGACGTGCGACTCCTTCTTTCACTTGAACATTTAGAGGCCATTGTAGGGTTATTAATTGGCCTAATTTCAATATTGTTTTGTCTAAGGGAAGAGGGAGACCCGATGAGAGGGAGAGAGACGGGGGAAAGGCCGCAGTCAGAACACACACAACATTTTTCGATTAATTTCGCCGTCTTATATGGGTGCGGTTCGTGGCGCCCCAAAACAATTACAATAGTAACATCAAAAATTACTGATCACAGATCACAATAACAGATATAATAATGAAAAAGTTTCAAATATTGTGAGAATTACCAAAAAGTGACACAGAGACACGAAGTGAACACATGCTGTTGAAAAAATGGCACCGATAGACTTGCTCGACACAGGGTTGCCACAAATCTTCAATTTGTAAAAAACGCAATATCTGCAAAGCGCAATAAAGCGAAGCACAATAAAACGAGGTATGCCTACTGTTTTTTTCATATACATCTATGTTTTCCACGTGGTCTCTTCCCTTGAGGTTCTTCAATCAAAATTATGAACACATTTCTGTTTCTTGAATATTATTTTTCCTATTTATTTCGTCTCTCATGGTTTTCTCCTGCAAACAGTGTTGGGGGGGAGGGGGGTTAATAGCACAAATATAATATAATAATGTGAATATTTTTAATAGTAAGCAACAAACAGTTAACAAGGGGGTCACCTTCATGTCGTCTTTACAAAACTGAAGATTAAAATTTATAGAAACATTTTTTTGCAGCAAGATGGAAGAAGTATTACGAAAATGGGACGTGTTACATAATGAGGAGCTTCATAACTTGTACATAATGCTGTCAGGGTGACTAAATCTAGAAGACTGAGATTGACAGGCCATAGAAAAGTATGCAGAAAGATGGAATTTTATTTTGAAGCTTTGATGGAAAGAGACCATCCGGGAGCACCAGGTTGCATTTAGTTGTATGGATGCTGACTTGACAGTGTTGATAATTAACCTTCTGGTGCCATAATACAAAATTTCTTGTACAGTTGGTTAACTTTTTTATAGTAAAGTTGTCGACTGCTTAATCAGTTAATAACCAGGAGGCAAATGAGTTTCTCAAATTACTTCATTATCTCTACATTATAGCATTTATGTATGTCCCAACCATATATTTATCTTAAATTCCTACCTTCCAGAAATGAGTTATACTTGATAAGTCTTTGAAGTTTGTTTCTTTAATAACATCTTCAAACTGTTTTTTCGCAATCAAATCATCTGCATGTTTTGTGTTCCAATAGTTCATGTTGTCTGTCTTCACGTATGTTCCTGAAAAAATAAAGTGATATTTTCAAGAAATATAACCAACTGCAATGGGTAGAACTTACGATCACAGGAGATGATAAATGAATTAAGAAAAGTGTGTTATTTAAACAATTACATACTTTTATCTAAGTTTAAGTAAAACTATAACTTTCTTACTTTTTCATTTGGAATCTTTTTTTTCGTATTTCAGGGCTGTGGCTAATACAGCAGATAGCTTGACGAAATGTTTACCAGGAAATCACATTTCTCAAAAAGGCTTATTGAAACTGGTGGAAAATAAGGAACTCTTGAAGATTTATAACTTTCATTAAGGAAATTATTTGCCTTATATAAATAGAAAAAAAATTGTATTCCCTATAGATTTACTACATCTGCACTGTTGATTAGCTTCATAAACAATGGAATTTATGATTCTGTAACATGTAGTATTTGTACCACTGTTTAGCTAAACAAGAGTTGATATCTAGCTATTTGTAGCTTAACCCAGTGATGGGAAGAATTGACATGTATCTTGATTAAATGAACAATCCAAATCACAGAGAGTTTGTTTGTATTCCAAATTGGACTACAGTTTTCTTTCTTTTTAAATTCATATTCTGGTAAAGCAGCATTCACAAGGTGATAATGTTACATTATGCATATATGGAGAAATGTGCAAATTTTAATAGGAATCAGTCTTTGCTGTATTTTGCCACTGTTTTTTCTAGTTTATCACATTATTTTATAAGGTATCTTTATACACTTCCCCACATAATTTGCACACGCAAAATTGATCTGGTTCGTGGTGATGTCTTTTTGCAGAGTTTGTGGTGGTAGCCATACACAGCTAGTCTTGTGATTGTCTTATGTTACATAACAAGTGTGGGTAAATGATCCTATTTGTACATAATAACATAAATATGAAAATAGGACATGGCTATATAGATAGTACAAGTACTCCATTTTCTTATACCCTCTTGTATGTAGTATCCTGTCTGAGTTTCAATTAGACCAGTGAAATTCAATTTTTTTTGTTCGCATACCCCCAGATACAATTTCTCTTCAATTTTATTTCCCCCAAAGTTGTTTTCGTATAATTCAAGTTATACATGGTACATAATCTCCCAAATCGAATGTCCTTATGTCCCGTTCTCCTGTGGATAACTAAATCTGGCCCTGATTATTCAGTGTTTATCATGATATAATATATATATATATATATTTAATTTAACGTACTCCCTAAGATGTCTTCGCGTACCCCCGAGGGTATGCATACCCCAGGTAGAATACCACTGAATTAGACAGCTGTACTCCTGGCAACGTTATTGTCATTGGTAATATCATGTAAGACAAAATTTACTTTAATAAAATCTTCTCGTGTAATCAGCAGCGTTAACTGGTTACCATAGTAAACCGACGTTTCGGGAACAATCTTCAGGGTTCTGATGTGACTGGATCCTCGGAAGTCGACATTTCAGGAACAATCTTTGATCCCATCTCTAAGGTTCTGATGTGACTGGATCCTCGGAAGGCTACTGTGACATCAGAACCCTGAAGATGGGGACAAATATTGTTCCCGAAACGTCGGTTTACTATGGTAACTAGTTAACGCGGGTGATTGCCGGAGAAGATTTTATTGATTGTACTCGCCGCGAAAGACTCAAATCCTATATAAATATTTACTTACCTATCATTACCGTCACAAGAAAGATTATGTATATGATGAATTCTTTGCGATTAAAAAGAAGTCCTTCGTTGTTAGTATTTATACATGCAAGGAACTTCTGCTTCATTCCTAAAAGACAAAGAACTTTGTATCAGTACTGAGAATTATTAAGGGCATATTTTTGGGCCTTGTCTACTGTATTGGATAAAAAAATGTATATGACATGCCTTGATTTCATTTGTCTTTGGCATTTGGTACTAGCAAAATGTATGTTCTTGAGGTACCACGTTAATTACCTTAATATAACCGGTTAAAGATCATGACCAGATTCTGTTACAAATTTGGTGCATCTTTCTTTTAAGAACGAGTAAGTGGACTGAACTTACAAGTTTTATAGATTGTTGTTATATTTGGTTGATAGTATGAACATCAAATTGAGTTCAAGTACCTGATCTAATTCTAATTGAATACAAAGAATTTTCAACAATAAGTAATTGGAAAATTACTTTACCTTGAAAACAATCCATTGCACTGGAAATTATTTTTCTATTAATCTAGATTTGGAGATTTATGCCACAGTTCCTATCAAAACACAAATTATTATGACACCAAATCTTTGTTATTCATTATTATGCCTAGCAACGGGCCATATTATTAACAATGTGCAAGACCAACAATACGAGTTGTAGTGACGAGAAACAACAAACAACAACAATATGAGTTGGAGCTTCCCTCAGTGAGTAGCCGACATTGTCGCTGTGTTGAAATGCACGTGACCATAATAGAACAAATCATATTTTAGAATATCCTACAAGCTGTGATAACAAAATGACATATGAGGAATGTCAGGAAATAAATATATAGTAGGAATAAATAAGAATATTGTAATCGATTGAGGTGCTGTGATCTGGTGGCAATAGTTGCAAGTATGAAGGTTGTTCTTGTTCTATGATAAATACACAATGTATCCACAGATAATATCTCAAGAATAACTGAAGATATCGAAATGGCCGATAAGGAAATTTGTGATGTGGACCGGCAGTTTGTGTGGTAGCTAAAGTCTTAAATAGTCGTTGGCACAGATAGAACAACGGGGATTTTGGTGTAATAACGAAGCTGAAGGTATGAAGATATCTGTCTTCTGGGCTGTCGCGCTGTATAGTCTGGTCGATGTTTACCAACGTTTCAGAGGTCATACTGCCTCCGTCATCAGGGCGATGAAGATTTCTGTCTTCTGGGTTGTTGCGCTGTGTAGTCTGGTCGATGTTAACCAACGTTTCAGAGGTCATACTGCCTCCGTCATCAGGGCGATTCTTAGTATGAAGATTTCTGTCTTCTGGGTTGTTGCGCTGTGTAGTCTGGTCGATGTTTACCAACGTTTCAGAGGTCATACTGCCTCCGTCATCAGGGCGACTGAAACGTTGGTTAACATCGACCAGGCTACACAGCGCAACAACCCAGAAAACAGAAATCTTCAAACTCACCGCTGTGAAAACCTCAAATCTTAGGAAGCTGAAGGTAGTTTGTTGCAGATTTGATCAGACCGTTTATGCCACTGTCGCTCGTAACGAAGTGTATGTGTGAGGTTTAGTTCTGAGGTCCGTGGAATTGTGACATAAGGCACGTAATGAAAGCTGCTATTGTATCGCAGCATAAATCGGTCCCGTTAATGAGTGTATGTAATGTGCCCCACCAGTCCAGTCTGTGCACTTATGTTCAGCGAATGTTAATATAGTAATTATTTAATGAACCGATATCCACATTCTTTTTCCATCTATATAGGAGTCTGTATATTCCAGCAGTTTTATTTAAATGGTAGCATTACTGCTATGCGTGTTAAATATCTAACAATTACTCCATTCGAATTGAATACAAAGAATTTTCAACAATAAGTAATTGGAAAATTACTTTACCTTGAAAACAATCCATTGCACTGGAAATTATTTTTCTATTAATCTAGATTTGGAGATTTATGCCACAGTTCCTATCAAAACACAAATTATTATGACACCAAATCTTTGTTATTCATTATTATGCCTAGCAACGGGCCATATTATTAACAATGTGCAAGACCAACAATACGAGTTGTAGTGACGAGAAACAACAAACAACAACAATATGAGTTGGAGCTTCCCTCAGTGAGTAGCCGACATTGTCGCTGTGTTGAAATGCACGTGACCATAATAGAACAAATCATATTTTAGAATATCCTACAAGCTGTGATAACAAAATGACATATGAGGAATGTCAGGAAATAAATATATAGTAGGAATAAATAAGAATATTGTAATCGATTGAGGTGCTGTGATCTGGTGGCAATAGTTGCAAGTATGAAGGTTGTTCTTGTTCTATGATAAATACACAATGTATCCACAGATAATATCTCAAGAATAACTGAAGATATCGAAATGGCCGATAAGGAAATTTGTGATGTGGACCGGCAGTTTGTGTGGTAGCTAAAGTCTTAAATAGTCGTTGGCACAGATAGAACAACGGGGATTTTGGTGTAATAACGAAGCTGAAG